TGGAATATACAGACGAGGAAAGGCATTTACGTTCAAGCAATGATTATTATATGTTCATTAGAACATATAATACAGCGATGTTGTTTCGATTTCATATATGTGAGTATGTAAATTTTTAATAAATGTCTATCGAAATCATTTCAAGTCTAGCATTAATCAAGTAACGAAAAAAAATTATCATGTATACAGATATGTATTTTTCAGACGACTTTCTGCATACGACTGTCGAGAATGCAGTTTTAACAAGTCCCATCTTCCAATTTAATAATAAAATGATGTGCGTACAATTGTTCGTTGGCCTCTGCACCGAATGTGATGCACGTATAGTGTTGCGTGATTACATAAATGATGAAGAGTTGGTAATGGTAACAGTAGAAGGCTCATCGAAAATTACAGCCCATGGCTTACCTATGTGGCAGTCTGTCAAAATTAATCGAAATTCTACAGTGACCAATTATAATACTAATAATAAGGTGATAATCCAATTGATTCCTAAACTAAATAAATATAGCTCGAATCCGTTGTGGGCGATAGCGAACGTTCGTCAATGTCCCCAAAATGGTAAGTTTCTGATAATTTTTTGTTCTCTTATTCCGAATCTTTTTAATATTACTTAGGTATCAGTTACGTAATTTGTATATTTATCAAACAATTATAAAAGTAACAGTCTTTTAACAAATTAATCTCTTTTGTATTTAACTTGTTTTATTACTTTTAGGAGCTCTGAGGAAGGGCGTTATGATTACTAATCAAGATTGGGACAGTCATTACTTTTGGCCGATTGAGACATGTCAAAAATTATTTTACGATGAACATGTCGTCGTGAATCATTTATCGCGCATGAAATCAGATATAAACTTGGGTAACTGTTAGAATTGTCATTTACGTTATATAACTGAAATTAATAACGTTGTAGTTTTGCTGATAATGTTTTTAAGTTAGCAAGAGGAAAAAATTATTTTAAAGTTGATTTAAATATTTTAAATAATTTTAATTATTTTGTCAGATGACGCAAACTGCTTTCAAGGTAAAATTGGGTCACAATGCTTATTTTCCTGCGAATCTGATTTGAATAGTGACTCTAACTGTACAGGAGCCAAAATTTGTTACGAAAATGGTTGCACGTGTGCTCCGGGCGTTTTAGGAGACAATTGTCTTAAAAGTAAATAATTTCTAATCGACAATATAATAACTATCGCCAGAATATGTCTTTACTTTTATACAAAATACTCAAACATTTCATTTTTAAACTTTCAGCTTGTGATACATACACATATAGTTATGGTTGCAAAAAAACATGCGGCGCATGCTTCTATAACAAACAGTGTAATATAGTGACTGGTGTATGTGATAAAGGTTGCGACAATACTGACAATGAGATTATTTACATACCACCTTTATGTCAAACAAGTAACAATTTTTAATATAATACGTAATATGCTATTTTTATATTAGTTCAAAGAAATATCAATCATGGTTAGATATAAATGTATAATATGCATACTGATTATTTTACAGGTGTAGATAGGCCCAACATACCTACTATTTCATTGAACGAGACGACTATTTGTGCCACTGTTCTTATGACATGGAAGAACGAATACGAAAAAATACCGATTTATTATTCTCTTTTCATTCAAGTAAGATGTTATATAATTCTTTTTAATCTTTTTAAAAATATTAAGAATTATCGTTTAATTAATTAGTAATTTAACAAAATTTGCAATCGATGTAAATATTTAAATGTTGCTTATATTCAATAACAAAACTAGAGAAGGAAATCAATTTAAATTCGTATAATATATTTTTAGGGACAAATTAAATATCAATGGAACAAGTTACTTCGAAATATGACACAATTGACAGAATATTTTGTGAATCTAGAACCTGGTTTTATGTATTATGTCGGTTTCAGCTTAGATATCAATGGTGTGCAATTACATAACGATTGGGTAACAGTTGAAACTAAGTGCAATCATAAGTCAAGATTTGTTTTATTTATAGAATATTTATATTATTAAAAATTTTTTAAATAATATTATTCATATTATTATTCATTTTAATAACAGTTGTGTTATAATTTGTTATTAGTAACTTTATTGCTTTTAGTAGATTATCAATTATAAATTAATTTATCGTTATTCCACTTTTTATACATATTGTAAAAGTAACTTTAATTTTACATAGTGTGATACAACATAATTAAAAAAAAGTAATAATAATTGCAAAATATTTTATTGCGTGTTGAAAGATATTTTCACATTTTTATCGTATTGCCAAATCGTAAGAAAAATACGATTTTAGTCGTTTATCTATTTCCACGAATAATATATTTTTTGTAATGATTCTTCGCATAATGTAGCGGCTGACAGTTTCGATCTAACACCTGAAGAAAACGGAATGATAATTGATTGGCGAATCAATCCAAATGTATGTAGATACTTTATATTTAATTGATTTTAATTTTTTTAAATTCGTATACAATTCTATTTAAACATATTATCATAATACCACGAAATAGAGTAATACTTATCTTTGTTTCTTTTTATCACAGCAATTATATTTGTGTCCGGCAAGGTGGTATTATGTGGTAGTTCGCAATATATATACAAATAATATAGTTTTTTCTACATTATCTATAACACATTTTCCATATAAATTGCAATTCTTGCCGTCATACACTTCTTTTGAAGTGACCATATTTTATAAAGATGATAAATTATTTTCCCAGGAAATTCGTACGCTTGAAGGCGGTGAGTTTGGTTGTATCTTAAAAATATGTAATATAAAAAGATCACATATTTTCACAGTATAGAGAGATTGTTGCAAATATGCTTGAATTATAAATATATATTGTAAATATCCACAGTTCCATCTAGAGTGTCAGAGCTACAAAAAATGTTCTCGTCTAATACACAACTCACCCTGATTTGGAAACCTCCACATAAACCGAATGGAAAAATAGTGCGATATGAAGTAATCTTAAAAGTAATGCAGTTATAAGAAACATTATAAGAAAATCAATCAATAAAAATCTAACTTAAAATCAGTTTTATATC